TGGAATGAAGTGATTGTAGATGAAGTGTGAAACGGATGCAATTATGACCGAACAGCTGCATTCCCCATAAAACACCAATATTTTTGACCCTGCCATTTTACCTCAAGTGATTATGTTTAATTGTGCGCGTGCTGTATGAATGCATTGCGTGAGAAGTGAGGGTCAAAACAAGATTCTAGGCTACAAAAGCCTCTTCTTCTTGTTTAACAGTAATTTATACTCCTCAGCTCTCTAATCATATCCAACGGTCATAAGTAGTCTTCAATTAATTTCCTACACTCATTCCTTCTGTTAAGGGTGCTGGCTGTTTTGTTAATTAAAATAGTTTCCTTAGTCTTCCACCTACTGATATAGTTCCCATATCCAGTTAGGAGTCTGGCACTAGACCAGTCTATCTAGTATCCTGTGCGGGCCATGTGCTTGGCCAATTCCGATTTATTGGACCCCCAAACTCTTGCAAGATGTTCAGTGTTCAGATGACCGCTTATGCATTTAAGCCCGAGCTGAAGAGAGAGCGAGAATATTCTCGAAAAGAAGGCATCACTTAGGAATATGTTACTTTCTCCTTATACATAGTCCTGATGTTCCACCTCCTCAGTAATTCACCGGTCTTCTTCAACAGATTACATGGCGGCAATGTAAAGACTCTTATAGAATTGTTTAACCTTTTAGCTAGCTACAAATATATATTTCTCCTCTCCTATTTGTCAATATTCTAAACTAATTGTCAAGCAGCCCTCGTAGCTAATTGTTTTTAAGCAGAATACTCCTCAATATCCTAAATTTCCGGTCTCTATGCTTGGCACCTGCTAGACGCAGGCTCCTTATTATCATAGATTTTCGAACCCATACTTTGACCCCATAAGTGGTTGGAAAAGAAATTCAAAATGAAGCCTGTATTTGTGAGCTTACTATACACATCTATACCCAATCTGAGCCCCTCTTTGCTAAATAGAACATATAAAAATGGTTAATCACATAATTTTTCTAGCTTGATGGTGAATTTTGTGTACCCATCATGTTCATCAGACCAAAAACATTCTCCAGGTTGTAGAAAAACTAGGTTCACTCGCTTCTTTAATAGAAATGATAGTTACTCCAACATTCTCCAAGTTTCCTTTTCCATGCTTCCAAACGGCTTGATAGTTGCCCATACAGCGAACTAATAATTTAGCGACTTGAAGTGCCTCTTTAATTAGGCATTCCTTAAATTTAGCTAAGTAATTATTTACTAAAATAGGTAACAAACACGATCACATGGCCAAATATGGTTTTTTATACAGTTTACCACTAAATGTAAAATATGTACAGTGTATCGCCAGGCTGGCCAGTATCATTAATTTCATACTTTCTAAGATTTCACCATGTTGGTTTAGTGTGGATTGTAGAGCTTCTATGGTAGGTTAGTGTACATAGACTCAACATCATAATTTCTCAGAATATCTCCAATTTCTGATTTCTGCTCGCCGACTAAGCAAACTAATTCATAAAAATCCTTGACTTAAATCTGCCATATCTCGTTGATTTGCTTAAACTGGTAACAAATAAATCGTGATGTTTTATTTATCACTCTACTCCTATTGTTGACAACACTTCTAAATAGACTCCATTTTTATGTATTTTGGGCAGGCCTAGCATCTTATCGAAGAAGTGTGTTAATCTTCCACTACTCCACTTTGTTGTTTATTACACAGTGAGGCAGGAACCCTTGGGTCTAGCTTGGGACATTTAAAAATCAATTTTGGATACACCAATGGCATCAAAGGGCCTGAATCTTATTGATGAAACTCGCTTGTTTGCCACTTCGCAAATTTTCCTTTCCCATGCAATGTTCCAGGAAACCCCTGAATCTAGATATCTGGGATTATGTAGGAAACTTAGTAATATTATTGTATATTACGATATCAATTAACACCTATATCACGTCTTTTACATTACTTACATTATCTATAACAGAAATGCTTCACTGAGCAGACCACTAAAGCCTTGAGTCCCATGTAGATTGAACAATTAACCTGTCGCTATAGATTCCCTTATTACTGTTCAGCCTGTGAACCGAGTAAATCTCGTGGTCAAGCAGTTACTTCACGATTAACAGCTATGATCAGACTCGACTACTAATAGCGAGCCGCATCTATCGCTCTTCTATCAATAATGCCAAGTCTACGACTTTATAATGCCATAGTGTACCGATTCTAAAATGTGATAGTTCTACTTGATTTGAATAGACTTGATGTAGACGTTTCCTCTTGGTTTATGATTGTTTTCCTGTGGTCGCCCTACTATACATTTTTCTAAAATTAAAAATATTACCTTGATATAGTAGTCTTTATTATGTTGATTTTGACGTTCCATGATTTACTTCGAGTTTGTTTAGGCAGTATGAATAGTGTTCGCTAATATGCATTTTTTAAAGTCCCCCGTTTGTTAGATATCTTTCGGGCATGATATCCATCGCTTCTCAGATCTTGTATTTTGTTGCATTTTTACTATATGCAGCCATCCCTTCTGTCGAACCCCAGTCGATTTCGTATCCCGTCCGTGCAATATGCTCCGCCACTTCTGAACTTTCCGTATCTATGTCACAACATAATTTTTAATACTCATTGATTTGTTGGCTGACTTTTCTCCCTGTTTCATCAATATACTTCTGCTCACAGTTGCCGCATTTGATGCGATAAAATCTCGAGCTATCCAGTTTCTCAAGCTTTTCGTGTTGCTTCAGCAGGCCGTTAAAGAATGTTGTCTTATACTTTGTTATCACTTTGATATTCCATTTTATTTGTAATGACAAAAATACTTGACTCAGTTCGCAGGAAGGCAGGCATATCTACCTTCGGTTGTCCTCTCGATTACTGAACTTACTGTTATAAAATCAAAGTAATAAAGCTGATTTTAATGGCCACTATATTTTATTATATAAACTCTCCGGTGCATTCTTTAGTAATGAAAATCGGCATCAATTTTCCCAACTCCTCATTCCAGAACTCCATGTGCGTTAGTCTTAAGTCCTTGATAATCAAACTCGTTAGTATCCCGATTATCAGTTCGTAGAAATAATGAGACTATAGGTATATTATATATATTTAAATTTTTTTATTTCTGAATAGCCGCCCCTCGAGAGTCATGTTGGATCAAAAGTTGCCGCTCATCCTCCTCCAACTCTATTGTGAATTTAATTCTTTCATTATGTTCGTTCATAAAGTTAGAGAATTTGTAGTATTCCAAAGAGTACGCGGAAAGTCTCCAAAATATAAAACGCTTGCACTCTACCAATACAAATTTGCAGGCCCGAAACGAAGAAGAAAAGGAAAAATAGTACTATCTAGTGGCCTATTTAGAAACGGCTGGATACTATATGGAGGACTGCCAAAAAAAGGAAGGAGTTGAAATGTAGCGCGAAATAGAAAAGTGTAAACTTCGCGGGTCCCAGCTGAGCAGAGAAAGAGGATGAAGAAAACGTGACCAATGTAAACAGGATGTCAGCTACATAAAAATACCCTTGCGTTATTTTCCAGTCCAACTTCTGATTGGAGAACGAGGTGCCAAGCTTTGATTTAATGAGGCAAAATAAGGAAATAAGATTATTAAGGGGAACTTCATTTCGTATGAAAGTGCATTAAGAAGAGATTCGTTCGTCGGTCTCACCAGATGAGGACGGATGAATTCCGTTGTACTGCAGCCGTTTGGCTTTTATACGACCTTCAGGTTGATGCAGTCCACGGGACCTCCCTCGTTTCGGGTGAAAACGGGCTGAGCTTTTGTCCATCATATGGTGGACATCATCTGAGCTGGGTTCCATTCTTGTAAAAAGCCTTATGTTAACACTAGGGCAAGAAGACTATCCGGCTCTATCTTACCTCTTATACAGACTCAATTTAGCCAAAAAATTAAAAACTCGCGAGCTATAGAGTGGTTTGGCTAATTATCTTTCATACTGGTCCTGCTACTTTTGCTCGAGTGTGTGCGTGTGTGTATGTGTGTATGTGCTAGCGTCTACATGCAATACCGGTCCTAAATCAGAGTTATCAAAAGGCTAATTTCAGGCTCTGATCATCAAGGCCTCATGACCCTGACCGAGACTGGCTAAGTCCGTAAGCAAGTATGGTTGAGAAAATGAGAGATGAGCTTGTAAGCATGTAAGTCAAGTTGCGAAATCACTTGTCCTAACCTCTCAGTCTATGGTCATTAACGCTTAACCCCCCAAGGAAAGGCATGACTGGGGCTGCGTAATCTGGCACATCTGGTTCGGTTGATGAGTTTAATCTAACATGTTGGACGAGTGTGAGTGAAGTTAGAACCATCACCAAGTAGACAGGTTGAGTCGCCTTCTTTTGAATGGCCGTCTCAGTTTGTCTATCCGTGACTAAATGGTATCCGTCTGAAAATATATTCCTCAATAAAGAGATATTATTCTCAATAAGGCCCAATGGATAATTATTTTCCAGGAATATATTTGTCAGCTGTTCCAACTCATTAGTCAAATGTTTGCTATCAGCTAACCTCATACTTCTAAGAAGCATTGACTTCAAATTTCCAACCTTAATCTTGTAACTATGGTTAGAAAGAAAATTAAGCAAAGAACCAACATATGTTGGCTTCCTATAAACATCTCTTTCTAACTTATATTTGCTCTAATGATGAGAACATCCAGAAAAGGTAAGGACTTATTCTCTTACGGTAGACTGTATAATCTACCGACATCCACAAATAGAGATCTACATCAAGTATCGTGTGGTTTAGTCAAAACTAGGCTCAAGGAAAGCATTACCAAACTGCATGAACTGATTAGAACCAAAACTAAGCTCAGACAATCTCATAAGGACTATTGAATGATGTGGATTTCCTTAAGTTACTAGACATGGCTGACGGATTAGGAGAAGAGATTGACAGAATTACGCGTCGGATACATGATAAAAAGCTCTGGAATTTAGAAATTAGATTAAGGTCGAGAAACTTTGCATCTAAGAAGAAGAAAAATCTTAATAACCATGTTTTTATCAAAGTGGGGAAGGATAAGGTAAGCAATTTATCTAGTACAACTATGGAGGATATTGTAGTACTTTTATTGGAAAGAGGACTGCATTTTGCTCTTCCAAATGAGGTAAACCATTCTCTGGAAATA